CCACAGGCCTGTCACTCTCGCACAAAAGAGAACACTTTGGTTATTTTTAGCTCCAGTTCCTAAAAAATCAGGCACGCATCATCACGCTCCATGTACACCCTTCTGCCCAAGCACCACCAGCAGTTTTGGGACCCCCTTGCCGAGTTCAACCGCAGGTGAACACAGGTGGTGGAGTGAAAAAACCTCAAAGATATTGCATTCCCAAAAGTTTTATGAAAACTGGTGGCTGGGAAAAAACGAGCCAAATCAGGCTTCAACAGTAACTCATCTGCTGAAGGAAGGAAGCAGAAGGAAATGTGCCAAACTTAACTGTCCTTCAACAGTGCTGTAAATTTAGAGAAATATCTGTGCATGTGTTTAGGGCAGCCACACCTTTATTTTCAATATTTTCATTGATTCATTTATTTTTCACATTTTCATGTCGATTTTTATATGTATTCTGTGTTTCTCTCTTTTCTGGGCTTACTCTAGCGATTGGATTCTTATAGGAATTGTCCTCCTCTTCCCGTATGAAAGCCGGAGGGACTGTCCATTCTCGCTTCTGCCTGACCAGGCTGGTGGGATCAGACAAAATGCCGCTCCTGCCATTTCGATGATAAACCTGTGGAAAAAACAACGCTGAATGTCAGCATTACATTTAGCCCTTTCAGATGGATGTTTTATTGCTGCTGTAGCCCAGCTTTTGCTCTTTCAACAGCTAGTAACTTTGAAATCACGGAGCAGCATTAGCCTTCCGAGCCACAGCCTAAGAGCTCTGTGCTCCTCACGCTGTTTGAAGAGCAAAACTGCGCTTGTCTTTTCATCAAGACAGAATTAGGCAAGACAGGCTTTAAACACACGAGCACGCTCCCCTAACCAGGGGTTGGTAAAAATACACCTGTAACGGAAGACTTAAGTACTTGGCATCAGATGTGGGAAGAAGTTTGGCACTGAGGCTGGTTTTCCACCATTTCTGCCTTGTCACCCTGTTCACCACGCCACCAATCTGCCTCGTGCTCAGCCGTCTCTCTGAAGCAGACCACATGGAAGAGCAGGCCTGTACTCAACCCGTCCGCTGTCTCTGCTGTCCTTGCTCTACTACCCCTCATTCTCACTCTGCGTGACACCCTTCGGCCTTCTGTCCAGCTTAGTCCCTGCTGTGCCTGTGACTGCCAGATTAACATCTGGAACTGTTTCCAATTGACCTTCCATAAAAAAGTTGTTGAATCCATTTACAGAGAGTTAAAAACCCCCAGATATCTACAAACTCAGTATTTTAGGGGAAGTTCCTCCAAGTTGAACACCACCTAGTTTGATGGATGTAGGAGTCTGTTCACTTACATTTCAGCTTTCATTATTATTCATTACACAGCTTTCCCATTTCAGGAAACGGTAAAACTAAAGGTATTTATCAACTGAAGTAAGACACTTTGCTCAGAGAACCCTTCTTCAGGCACTGATAAAGGAAAGCAGTTTTCATTATTTCCTACCTTCACGTGGAATCCATTTCCATAATTCAAACAGACCTGCAATGGAAGTTACGACAGTCATTATTCATCCTACGTCACTTTAGCAGTACTAAAACTTAACTGACATGACCCGCCTCATAAGAAGAGCAAAGCCATACGGAAGAGGGCATCTGACCTCTATCAATTAATATTTACCATTACCCATAATAGCTTCTGAAAAATTCACCCATAACCATTCAGACTAAAAACATATGCCATAATTATATAATTATTAAGTTTTGCGCTCGTCTCCCAGCAGGAAACAAATAATAAGCAATTAATGGTTTTTTGCCCCCTCCAATAAATGCAGACTTCAGAGTCTCTCTTAAACAGCCGGTTTTTAGTGCTGAGTAACGCTTTGCTATTCAAAACTGATGGGAATTTGCCATCGATTGAAGTAAGTGTTGGTTGCCAGCAGCGCTCCGGAGCAGCCGCTCTTCTGGGCAAATTCACGGACTACAGAGCCTGTGGCGGGTCACCAACACCATCAGAGAACAAAACAGGTTAAATGATGTTTAAAAGCAAGGACTAACCAAAACACCGACAGAAGCAGCTCCGTACTTGGCGCCTCGCTGGGAGGATAAACGGCACACGTACATCCCTTACGCACACACGGCGTGCCAGCAACAAATCCCCTTGCTCTGACAAAATCTTACAGGCCAACATTCGGTATTGGGACTGCCCACCTCTTCATCCACCAGGATAGCTATGTATGCCCTTCCACACCCCAGTCTGGTGCCCAGTCCTAGCTGGAAGGAACTGGAACCTCAGCCAAATTACCCGAGACCCTGTGTTTACGGCCACTCCGCAAACACCAAAGACTCTGCAAGTAACAAACCCCCTCGAGCAGTGCAAAAATGTAGGCTTTGGGAAAAAGCAACAAGAGGAAGTAGGTTATTACAACGTGTGAAACCAACAAATAAAGCTTTTGAGCCTTGCACAGGTAGAGAAGAGGACACTTGTATTGGTCTCAGCACTGTTACACCTACCTTCATTTTACATTTCAGGTGTTTGGGGGTTTTTTAATACCAATGCCTAAGGCAAAGTAGGCTCAAAAAAGGTGATTTCCTACTGAAATAAATCAGGGAGTAGCTCTTTATAGTCTCTTTGGTTTCTAGACTGTTAACTGGGCTCTCCCTATTCATCCCTCTGACTCAGCCCTGACTGCTGCGTTGATGACAGTTTTTTCTTTTTTTTTTTAAAGATGTTATCTCTCTCCCACACAATGCAGCGGGCAGTGTTGAGCAATGTAGCAGACTGCTGTTTCGACTTGTACAACAAAACTGTTTTCCAAATGCCGATTTTCCCAATCTATATATTCCAAAGACAAAAATCAACAAGTTCCCTAACGGGTATGCCCTGTGAGGGCTACAGGATCTGACACCTTAGACCAAATTGTTTGTATGAATATTCTTATCTTGCCTGGTTTTATTAGTAATATGGATTTTTAAAATTCATTTTTATCATTAATGAGATTGTACCAGCAAGAATGACAGGAGAATTTTGGCTTATAATCAAGGTTTTTCCACAGAAGCTGCAACTCTTTTGGAAGGTGAATAGCTGTCAAGGTGTCATCGTCAACATCCTTGTTTGCTCTTACTGGCAAACTGAAGGGAAAAGTGTTTCTGTCTCAATGCTGAACGGAGGCAAGAGGCACAAGGTGAGAAGCTTCCTTGTACCTGAAACCTGAGAAGCACAGTATTGACAGAACTGTCTGAAGTTCAAGAAGCAGCAGGGCTTCCCTCGAGACACATACAAAGAAAGCGGAGAAAATCCTATTAGTCACTGTAAACAGAAAGTCTTTCATTAAGATAACTAAAAATCAAAATCAATTTATTCGCAAATGCTGCAAAGCAGCCTCAAAACATTCTGTTTTATTGCTAAGACAGTAAAAAATACTTTTGCTTTTGTACTTTTCAATCTGTAGCCCACGGGCAATCTCATATGGGACTTTGAGACATCAATAAATAAAACTGCCATTCTTTAACACCTTTTACGAGATGAATAAATACCTTTAGAACAAATATATAAAGGGATCCTGCGTTTTTATTAAAAATTTTTAAAGGATCCAAAAATTTTACAAAGTGGAAGAGCACTTTTCAATGACATTTTCAAGAAAAAGTGAAAAGTCACATACCCAACAGGTGTTGAAACCTGAATTTCCTTTTTTTTTTTGTTTTTAATATCCTAGAGCTGCCTTCTATTAAACAGCTTAGTAAGAGTAGGAAAGCCCTGTTTGACATTTGATGGGGATCATCAATAGCCTTGGCACAAAACCCAGACATCTACTGATGACATTTGTGGATGACACAGAGCTGAGAAGGCATTGTCAGAAGACAACTGGTTGGCTACGGAAAACGAGGTGGAAAACCTGAGGCCTGAAGTAACAGAAATGGAATGAGATACTACAGGAAAGCAGGAGGAGTAGGCAAGAGGGCAGGGGGAGAAGGGAGTGACGGCCGTGTATAGGGAGTGCAAGGCTGCTCTTGCCCAAACGCGTGTTAATGTACAGCCAAGAAGTGACTAAATGACAGATTTTGACTCACAGCTTAGTTTTACAGTGTCAAGATGAAGAGTGATCAAGCAAGATGGTATCTCTTCGTATTTGCTACCCCATGAAACTGTAAGTCCTAAAAATGTGGTCTTTCACGTACGCGGTGTGTCAGGAGCCTGGGACCTCGCAGCTCCTGTCAGTCAGTTTGGTGTTGAAGACGACGGGCAAGTGACGACCTTCCACGCTTAGAGAAGGCGGCTGAAGGGACCATCCGAGGTTACCTACTGGTCTGCTGGCCCTGGGGCAGGACGAGCTACACCCAAGTGCTTCCTGACAATGGTTTAACCTCTTTAAGGAGCGCTGGATGTCCCACAGCCTCGCTAGCTGACCTAAGGCGGTGCCCAGCTAACCTTACAGACAGAAAAGGCTTTGTTAATTTTTATCCTAATTTTGTTATCCTAATTTTTAGCTCTTTGCAAGTCGATCATACTGCTGTTTGGATGAGGTGCAGTTTCAGATTAAGGCACACAAATTTACATGCCTACATGAACGTTAAGTGCCTGAACTCCTGTTATACTCAACAGAAATACAGCCAAAACAGCCAAGGTCATCAGGAAGCAGTTCAATTCACCCCAAAGCCAGCCCACATCTGCTGTTTCTCTCTGGACTCCATGACTGTAGCTATGTCTACTCCGTAAGCCCGATACAACAGGATATGTAGAGCAAAGCAGTTGCCGCTGATAACCCAACACTGAACAACCCGTGTTTTGTGGTTGTTGCTTCACACTAGAATTAGCCTGGTCCCACAGACCAATCGCCCTCGTTCAGAGGGAGGCATCTCCCAACGCAGTTTCACCCACGAGGGATCAAGAGTCACACACTCTGGAGATTTGCTTCGAAAGCACAATGTGCTCCAGCCACATCGGTGCACTCCGCATCCACCGCGTCTCCATCCACTGTAACAGAAACTCAAACACCTACGTGAAGGAGTCTCAATCTCAAACCGAATCTCCCTCTTTGCCATGCTGATACTGCTCTCCTCAAACAGAGCAATTCCCTTTTTCTCACAATCGCCCTTCACATATCTGAAAACTTACGCATCTTACCCACTTTCTCTTCTCAGTTCCCAGTTCCTTAATCTCACTTCAAGAATCAAAAAACCAGGAGCTCCTGAATCTAGATTGCGTTTTTTATTCTCCTCTAGTCTCTCCTGGACAGATTCACTTTATTCTGAAAGTCTGGTGTCCAAAATAATATACCATTTTAGTTCAATACGATGGATAAAGTACTAGATCTTACTTCTCACCTGCTTTCAAATCATACCACAGTTCTGCCCCCCTCCCCCCCCTCTTTTCTTAGAATACTATTAAGTTGTCAAATTGATGCACAGATGCTTGTAAATATTTTTACCATGTTTCAACATGTTACTGGCAGTAGAAGTGAGGCTGCTTTGAATTATCTCACTTTCGCTCTTTCTAAAACTAAGCATCGCATTGTTTGTTTGTTTTTAAATTTAACTTGTTCCTATGAATTTTGAAAAGTAATTGCTGCTGGCTCTGACATGACAACAGTGATCCAATGTATTCTGGACTGAATTTCACCATAGTTAGCCTAAGTCTAACACCCCAAACACGAAGGAAAAATCTGAGAAGACGTTCAGAGAAAAAGTAAGTCTTGCTACTTGTGAAGGAAGCTTCACAGATCTGTCAATTCTTTCACTCAAATGTAGGAAGTATTCCAAAATTTCCTCTCTTGAAGACATGATGTCCACCGCCTTCAGGAATGACCGAGGAACCACCCAGTCTAATAACCCTCGATAGCCGTGCCCGCCCGGCAGGCCCACGGCTCTGGGTGTGTGCCGCGGCCAGACGCCAAGTCTAGCCCCAACCCAACCCTACGGGCGCAGCACTGTCCTGCGCCTCCCTGGAAAAGGGCTGGAGGCAGGGACACGGGGAAAGCTGCCGTGACCTCTGCGAGCTACCCAGGGATGAAGATGCAGGGATGCAGCCCGCAGGCAGGGCGGGAGGGCAGATGACCAAGAGATACTTCCAGGAAAAACTGGGAGAGGAAGAGCTTACAGCTCTCGATGCTTCTAAGGTAGCAGACGCTTTGGGAAGACACTACTTTTAGGCTGTTTTGGTTTTTTACTCAGTAGTTTCTTAAGGTTTTGAAATTACCAGTGACATCTTTGCATGTCAAAAGACATAAATCACCCTAGTGTGACGTTCTCAAACTAGCCTTTCCTCCACATGAATGGCTTTGTCCAGATTAGGGAAAAAAAAACCCAACCAAACAAAAAGGGCAAAACCCAGCAGTGCCTCCCTCTCTCCTGACAACTAAGGTAGCTCTGTTTGCTCTAATATTCCATCCAACAATGAGGCATTTAGGCACCAAACTGCCTTCACTCTTAGTATACCACACCCTGCCCCGGCTTTAGCCGAGTCTGAGGATGATGAGGATTGGTAAGAATGATTTTCTTCCTTTTGTCGGGCAAAACCAACAGCGTCCTGAGCCAGCGCAAGCCACAACGGTGTGGCTTCATGTGTTATAGAAGGAATTGATGGAAACTTTTGTACAAGTAGTACTCTGCGTGTTTCCCATCGCTTTTTTGGGGGGCAAAACGAGGATAAAGCATTTTCCATTCAAACCGTGCTGCAAACAGCGAACAGGGTTTACTGTTGCTGGGTGACTTGTGCCCAAGCACAAGTCAACATTTAAGTTATCAGGCCAACGGGTCTCCAGCTAACAAATCTGATTTTGCAGGACCTCGAGCTGAGGGAACAAGGTCCTGATCCACAGCACCTGCCATCCTGGCCGTGGGACAAGACGTTACCGAACCCTGCCTGGCTCCTCGGCCGCTGCCCGACACCCGCAGGCGTCCTGCCAGCCTGGAAAGGCGAAGAGCTAAAGCACAATGCCATGGGTATGGAGGAGAGCGTCCCGTAAACCACCCAGAAACAGCTAGAAAGCATCAGTCGAAACCAAATCGTGTCAGTTTCTTATGAAATATTCCTTGCTTTTAGGCTGAAAAGTGGTTTCATAGGATGGAAGGTCTAAAGGCTGATGGCTAAAAAAGAGCGAGGGCAGGGAAGGAGACGGCCTGCAGTGCCTTGGATCGTGAGGGATCTGGTATCGTTTCTCCAAGGCAACAAAGAGTTACGTTAAATCATATTTCACGATCCGTTCTCCCTCCTGCCACTATTCTTTCACGAAAGTAACGCAATTTGTTAACACAGGCAACACGTTGAACAGGCAGACGGCAGCGGTATGAACTCCACGCTGCGCTCCCCTTCCCCCTGGCCTCTCAACACCCCCACCCACCCGAGACACGGCTCTGACCGGGATTTTCTACCTTCACCTGCTTTCGGACAGCGAACGGCGATCGCTTTTACCTGCTTCCCAAAGGACGGGAGAAAACCCGTTCCCCCGCCACCA